AAATTACCATTTAGGTACTAGAAGTCCGGTGGCTCATATCTTCCTGCCTGTATCAACTAAGGACTTTACGCTACCATTATTCATTGAGATCGGTGAATAACCAGTACGCCTCCAACTTGGTCACCGTCTCTCATTAGCACTGAGGGTAATCTATTTTGAAACATATCACCAGTGAGCATCATGCGGTATTTCAGTTTGGATACACGTGGAGATTGATTGACTTCAGGGAGTTATTCATCATGAAGTGACAACATATGGAGAATCATTGAAAACCTGGAATCACTGGACAGTTGTTTCTTCGTAGTATGAAGTCGTATGGGAATGTGGTTGCTCACTGCTGAGGAGTCACATCCTATGATGAAACAGCTGTTCAGTGATCCCACATTTCCAATGTTTCTCTAACTGATTTCAATCTATGATGAATATCACCTTGAAATCAATCAATCCCTATATACCTCCAAAAAGGAAAATGGTCTACAAGTCCATTATAAGTTTACCTATAACAGTAGGTTATTACGTAATCACTCAAGATATCGACAATCATTATGACAATGTGATTTGTTTATGCACAATTCAGGTCCATTGTTTCTTCATGATCGCATTCTACACCATCAAAATATTTTCTCCAATTATTATATTTCGACGTGATGAAAAGTAAAGAATAAATTTATGCATTACAACATCAAACAACTTGTTTATGAAAAGTTGAGTTTTGTTTCGAAGTTTTCATCCTCAAACAAATCGTTTATCGGAAACAAATTTACTGTATAAAGCATTCAGTGTATGAAAATTATTCAAAGCGATTGGCCCATTTAAAAAGAAAGCAACAAATGGTCTATCATCTTTGATGAGAAAAAAGGAAATGGGCTGTATTTAGTAACTTTTCCACAGAATCTAACTCATAATTATCGTGTGTTTGACTATATTTTACCATTCATAAAAGTTTAGTTTGTATTTAAGCCAACAGTCGATTTCAAATATTCTAGATAACGTTTTAAGTTTCTTTATACAAATTAAAAGGTATAGCATAATTAATGTAAGCCATATGATTGCTTTTCGAGAAAGTTTTATTCGTTATGTATTAACAAATTTTGCTGGGTTGACAAACAGTTGAAAAGCTTTAGAATTATACCAAAGGGCTTACAAATAGTTTTAGTATAACTCATCATTACGTAGCGATGAATCAAGCGAATATAGCGCAAAACACTTCTCAGTCGCATGATGTACCAAATGTTGGGTTCATTTGAAGACAACGTATGCCACTTTGAAGTAAGTTAAACAGTTTCACACACATGTCAGTCACGGAAAGAAATATC